TCCTGCCTCGAGGTTCTGGTCTTGACTTCCGGCCCTGACTTCCACTCATGGTAGCTTCTGATAGGAAAGTGAAAGGGAAGTAAAGCTTCCTTCCTCCAGTTGTTTTAGGTCATGATGTTTCTTCACAGGAAGAGAAAGCAAGTATACAGTGTCCATACCCGGTGAAGGACAACCTCCAGTGCCTGTTATAATTCACATGCTCCCACCTACTATGATTATTAAAGTGGAAAGGGTTTCTATTAGGGATTGGATGTGTAATACCCAAGGAAGGATCCTGTGTTTGAACTCTGATCCCTAGCATGTGGACATGTTTCAAAGTTGGGGAAAACCTAGTAAATAAACCCAGAAGGAAAAGGTAGGTCATGGGGTGTTGAAGAATATTATTTTAAGGTGTGTGACTTCTGTTTAGGTTGCACTTGTTGAACTCTGTGAAGCTGTGATGCTTTGCCTGTCTAAAACACCTGGTAGGCTAATGAAGATTTTAATGGCCAAACGTAAGGCAGGAGAAAGGATAGGTTGGTCAGTCACACAGAGAGTATAAATGGAAGGAGAAATCGTAGAGGAAGGAACAGAGAAAGAGCAAGAGAACAAGGAGAGGAGGATGCTAGGGGAAGCTATCCAGTTACCCAGCCACTGAGTAATAATCAAAGTAAGATACACAGAGTTTTGTTTTTTTTTTATTAAAAAAAAAAGCCTAAAAAGCCCAGAGCCAGAGTCAAAGGTGGACAGAATAATTCAAAGATAAGAAAAACTGGAAAGGAACAAGCCAAGCTAAGGCTAGGCATTGTAAGTAAGAAGAAGCTACTGTGTATAATTTAATTGGGAGCTGGGTGTCAGGTCCCCAAAAGAACAAAAGAATGAAAAGAACAAACACGATCAACAAAAAAGGGAGATACAGTGAAGGCTAACTGGGTGTAACCAGCCTCCCCAGACCCCTACCTGCCAACTGACCAGGGTAGCCTTCCTGTACTTAGGGACAGAATGTGAAGAAAACCAGTGATCTAAGCCAAGCCATCATTGGTCCATTTCTTGCTCTGACCTCACAATGACAGAACCCTGTTTCTTAACTGCTCTGGCTGAGGCTGCCTCCTCTCCTTACAGTTGAGAGGCTGATCTTCAGTTGAAATAGTGATTTAGATAGAAGTGAGCTGGTCCACTTGGTGGATATTCATGAGCTGTTGAATCTGAACACAGTGAGTTTCCTTCTAAGGTCACAGATTTGGGGTTTAGAGGTTTATGTTTCCAGGATTGAAAATAACCCTTTCTTCCTTTCTTTCTTCCTCGGTCTGGGGTATAATTTGGGGCAATTTTTATTATCTGCATCAATTAGATGTTTACTCTATTTTAATCTTTAGTTTTAATATTTTCTCTGGGTTCATTCCTTCGTTCACCATTTTAAAACATTTGTTTACATTGACTCTCCAACATGAGTATTCTGACAGTGACATTGACCTTCACGCACATGGAAAGCTTTGACCACATTCCCCTGATTTCACTGCCTCCTTCCCACCCTTTCCAAGTCCCTTGGGGTTCTCACTTACTAACTCAGTCAGGTACTTTTCTAGTCCAGGCCAAGTCATGTGGACTCCTGTCCAGAGGACTGACAGGCACACTGGATGGTGTCCTAAGGAAGGGCAGAGATGGATTTCTGCCTGTGCTCTAGCAGAAAGCCTCCTACTAAGAGGTTGTCTTAGGATCTTCCTGGCAGTTCAAAGTCAGGGCTGGAGAGGGCCAGAAGTAAGAGTTAGATCCCATTTTGCGATGCTAATGATGGAACAGGGCAGCTGAAAAGGATTCAAGAACAGAAAACGTGAAAGTCTAAAAAGAACCTGTTCTTTGAGGAAGAGAGGAAGTTTCCTTGGTGGGACATAGCACACCAGGTCCCTCCACCATCTTCTGTCCTTCTGTGTGCCTGAAACTGGCCTTTTGTGGGAAGTTTTCATTTTCTATCAGGGGGCAAGGTGATTGCAGTACTAAAGCTCGTGTGTTATCAGGCACGGGGTGGGGGCAATAATCATTTGGAAGCAAAGGATCAGTTCTGTTGGCCAGAGACCTCAAGGAACACATTCTTGAACAAAACTACCTAGTGCTGGGATGTTCTGCCCAGCACTCCAGAGACCCACCCCAAATACCTGTCCTTTTGGAAAAACAGGGGGACATTTTGTTGACAAGGACTGCCTTTATTTGATTATCACAAGCCTGGGCTAGAGGAAAACTCTTTCATCTCATCCTTTCTTTATTTTTGCAGACAGGGAGCCTCTCAGTGTGGCTCTGGCTGTTATGGAACTTGGTTTGTAGACCAGGCTGGCCTCGACCTCACAGAGAGCTGCTAGCCAGTAACTAAGTGTGTAATGTGTGCATATACGATGCCTTAGGGGAGTGAACTTTGTATTGACAGAGAAGGAAAGTCCTGCTTGAACTCTCTTAAACTTCCATCCAGTTTCTTTGGCTTCTGCCCCATAGCTGGTTCTGGGTGGGTCCTGTGAGGTCCATTTAAAGGGTAAATCTGTTGATTACTTAGGCAAGGTGAAGACAGCATAGCTTCAAGAACACAAAAAGGCTGAGTGCCACCCTCCCACCTCAGGTGTTGATGTCACACTCATGACACACTTGTGTCCATTGTGATGAGGAGCAGCGGGCTGCTTTCTGCCACCCGGCTAGCTTTGCCTGAAATAATTACACAGAAACTGTATTCTTTTAAACACTGCCTGGCCCATTAGTTCCAGCCTCTTATTGGCTAGCTCTTACATATTGATCTAACCCATTTCTAATAATCTGTGTAACACCACAAGGTGGCTTACAAGGAAAGATCTTCACTTGCATCTGTCTGGAGTGGGAGAATCATGGCGACTACTTGACTCAGCTTCTTCCTCCCAGCATTCTGTTCTGTTTACTCTGCCTACCTAATTTTCTGTCCTTTGAAAGGGCCAAGGTTAAATTTCATTTAACCAATGAAATTAACACAAAACAGAAGACTCTCACCCATCATTTTCCCTTTTTCTGCTTAAACCAAAAAGAAAGGCTTTCACTTTAACATAGTAAGATTACATATAACAAAACAGTTATCAAGCAAGAATTACAGGTACAATATCTATTTTGTCCTTTATCATAACTAAGGAAAACTATAACTATCTATCTATTCTTCAACTCCATCAAAGACTCCAGAAGGATATAATATTACCTAAGTAAATGAGAAGTAAGCAACTTACAAAACTCTAGAAATCACAGAGACATCTCGCTGCCTGGACAGTCACCCAAAGTTCCTCTGTACCACTGGGGCATCCATCTTCAGCCTACAGGCCCATAGTATCCAGAGCCATTTCCATGAAGCAGGAAATTTCAAAGGCATTTCAGTCACTATCTGTTCTGTCCTGCAGAATGTCTCACAGACACTTTCATGAATCAGGAACCCCGAAAGATCATCTCACCTTTAGGCAAGTTCAGCAGTCCTCTTTCTGTGGGTTCTTTGTGTCCAGTCCAGTATATGCAACAGTCCAGGCAAGAGCAGTTCCTGGCCGAAATGGCTATCAAACTCCATAAGGAGCCTCTTCGATGCCCATCTTCCTCTTGAAGTAGATTGGTGCTGCCAGAAGCAGACGTGTCTCATTGTCATGAAAAGCCCTAAGTTATTAAAACATCAAATGCCATATTCTGCAGTCTTTGAAAGATATGAAGAATGTCTATCTAATTGAAATGTATCTATATATATCTAGAAAATCTAACGAACATGACTACAAATTTGACTATTATAGATGATTATCCATTAACAACCCATATACATTACATTTTTAAATGAACTACACAATCACAATACCTTAATCAAGATTAGAAATATAGACATATAACAAAATTGACCTTAAAATCCACAAAACTGCAAATTATTCATATCTCTATCAGTCCATGTCCTGTGTCTCACAGCCAAGGTTACTTTTGAAGCACTGGGACACTCAATATGTACAAGACAAAAGCAGTCCTTGCCCTTCTGTTTGCTTTTGCTTTTTGGTTTGGTGAGAGAGGGTCTCCTGTAGTACAGGCTGGCCTCAAGACCACTGTGTAGCCAACGATGACCTGAACTGCTGGTCCTCCTGCCTCAACTTTCCTAGCTTTAATAATTGCCATGTGCCGGGCCACAGTGGTGCATGCCTTTAATCCCAGCAATCCGGAGGCAGAGGCAGCTGAACCTCTGTGACTTTGAGGCCAGTCTGGTCTACAGAGTGACTTCCAGGACAGCCGTGATTGTTAAATAGAGAAACCCATCCTGACAAACCAATAAAAAAAGCCAAGTGCTCACCTTTATAAGACTTTTCTTGTTTTTCTGTCAATTTAATGGCCTAACCCGAATCTACCTGTATTTTAATTACTATCTTCTCCCCAGGGCCTGACAGTCAACACCTCACCACATAGGCTGAGGCCTAGCGGGATTTCTGGTCCCGCTGGTACCAGCTTGGCCACAGTCACCAAATGTAAGTTTTAACTAAGCCTCTTTTCTTCTATTTACCAATAAAGACTTGGGAGTCAGAGCCGGGCAGTGTTGGCGCACGCCTTTAATCCCAGCACTCAGGAGGCAGAGGCAGGCGAATCTCTGTGAGTTCGAGGCCAGCCTGGTCTACAAGAGCTAGTTCCAGGACAGGAATCAAAAGCTACGGAGAAACCCTGTCTCAAAAAAATCCAAAAAAAAAAAAAAAACACAAAAAACCTTGGGAGTCAGATGTTGGGGTGATAACCTGCTAGCTCAGAAAGGCCAAGAAGCAACGAATCTACTTTCCTATTTGGACAGAGACCCAGCAAGAAAAGCATCTCTTCACTCATCCCAAACTAAAAAGACCCTGAATAGCTAAGTGTCTCCCTACACCTTGCTGTGCATCTCTCTCTTCCTATATTACTGGCTACTTTGTTCTTCCTTGGCTAATTCCTGTCAACTAGTTGCTCACTCCGCTTCCTGAGTTTCTTTGTTTTTCTTTTCTTTCTTTATTTCAGTTTGTTGAGACAGATGGATAGGCATGCCTTCCAGGGTGAGATTGGATATATATTTAGTGGGTATGGAGGGAAGGGGAAAGAGGAGAAGAGCAGAGAGGCAGAGAGAGACAGAAACAGAAGAGGGAAGAGGAGAGGTAGGGAGAATGGAGTAAGGCAGAAGCTTCCTCTTCTGGAGGAGAGATGGGAAAAGCCACATTCCCCTGATCTCACTGCTTCCTGGCCACCCCTCCCAAGTCCCTTCGTGTTCTCATTTTTTCACTCAGCCGATCTGTACTAGGTGACAGAAGGGGAAAAAAAACCCGTGAGCTGTGAAAAGCCACCATTTGTCCTTTTCTTGCTCTGACCTCACAATGACAGATGCCTGTGCCATCACATCTCTGGCTGAGGTTGCCTCCTCTCCTTACAGTGCAAGCGGGTTCGTGAGGTGGAAAGTGGTTGGAGCTCTGTGCTGGTGAAAGAGACTGTTCGGACTTTCAAGATCTGCTGGACTCCAACATAGTAAGTTTCCCTCCAGCTTTGTTGCCTTTGATTGTTGTTGTTGTTGTTGTCTGTGTATTTATTCATTTTCTGGCTTGATTTATTAGCTTACTTTTTCATGTTTTTTTTTTTTTACTCTGTTTATTTTGTAAGTGTATAGGAGGAGAATTCAAGACAGAAAGTCTCTGTGTAGCTATGGCCTTCCTGGAACTCAGTCTGTAGATATGGCTGGCCTCAAACTAAAAGATTACCTGCTTTGCCTTCTGAGTGTTGGGATTAATGGCATGTGCCACCACAGCCCGGTAGTTTTTATATTTAAGTTGTGCATCTTGGAGTATAACTTTTATTATTATTATTTTATGTGTATGAGTAAATTGTTTTCTTTCTTTGTGGGTACCAAGAGCCTCGCACCTGTGGAGGTCACAAGAAGAAGACAGATTAGCCAGAACTTGAATAACAATTGATTGTGAGCACCATGTGTGTTGGGCCTGGAACCAGGGTTCTCTGAAAGAGCAGGAGGTGCTGTTAAACACTAACTCATCTCTCCAGAACCTCTCTCTTTAGTTTTGCTTCTTCATTTACTTTTGTTATGTGTTCTTTGGTCCGTTTCTCTTTTCTCATATCAAGCCTTTCCTTGTTATGGCGTACCATATCATAGGAACAATTTAGTCCTGGCAATCGCAGGAACATCTCTAATGCATTCTGAGCACTTGATCATGTGATTAACCCACGCAGCTATGCTTTCTTCTCACACGACCTCCTCCACATTCCTAGGAGACTCCTCTTATGTTGAGGACCTCCTCCTGCTCCCATGTTCCACATATGAGAGAAGAAAAGTGACACATTTGAAGGACTGGCTTTTCCCATGTAGAGCGATCTTCTCCAGTGACAACCATGTTCTTGAGAGCCCCACAGTTTCATCCTTCTCTATGGCCGTCTTTATGTATGACTGTGGCACTCTTGCCCTTAATTCTGTTTCAATGTTGTTTTGTCAGGCTAAATGCGTAGAGATATCCTTGCAAGGATCCTTGGGAGCATATTGTAACCATGAAGTATGGCCTGGCTTATGTGAATTTGGTGAAAAGTATTAAGTAGTATTATTAAGGACTTTACATCTATGTTCATCATGGAAATAGCCTCTGTTTTTCTTCATTGTGTTTTCCTGGTTTTGGCATGAATGAGTTTGGAACTGCTAAGGACCTTTCTATTTTGTGGAGTATTGAGGAACACTGACATTTGTTTTCAAGAGATTCGAAGGATTCATCAGTAGGTTTGCCTGCTCCTGGGCTTTCCTATGCAGATTCTTTCCTCATAAATATTTCAATCTTGTTCTTTATCAAATCTTCTTACTTGAATTTATATCAAGAAGTTTCTCAATTCCATCCACATTTTCCAGTCCATGAGGAGGACTCTCAAGGTTTTCAAAAACAGATTTCTTTGGGAGATGGGTTAGCCTGGAGAGACAGCCCAGCAGTTAGGAGCATGGACTCTTCTTGCAGAAGACCAGTTCTGCAATCCCATGACAACATAACTTCCTGAAGTGCCGCACCTAGGGGATCTGTTGCCGTCTTATGTCTTTCCAGGTCATAGAAATAAAATTAATCAAAAAGACTTATATCACTATTTAAAATTATATATAGTACACGTGAGTATACATTTAGGCGACCTCAAGTGTGTGTTTGTGTGTATACATATGTGTGTGTGTGCGTGGGCGTGTGTGTGTCTGTGTTTGCCCTTGTGATCATCCACGCATGTGTTTGGATGCCCTCAGAGGTCAGAGGTATAGGATCTCCTAGAACTGGAGGCAGTGATCCACCTGACCTGGGTCCTGAGAACCAAACACAGGTCCTCTGCCGAAATAATAAACCTTCTGACCTCCTGAGCCATCTCCCCACCACGACACTCTGGGTTTTCGGGGTTTCTGTTGTCTCATCAACTTCTCATGCATATGATTTTATTAGTATCTTGTCTCTCAATGAGTGTTCAGCTCAAGTAAGAGGATGATTCTCCTGTCCAATCAGTGGCTCGTAGCTTCTGCGACCCTTTGTTTTATTCTCTCCGTTTCTGGGTGAATCCGGCCAACCTGACCTGTGTTATGTTCTGCTGTCCACTGCTTTGGAAGGTACTTCCTTCCCTTCCTGAGCACTACGTAGCTGGTTAGGTTGCCTGAAATATCGGTGACTCTTTTTCTCTTTGGAATGTAGGAATTGATAGTGATAAACATTCTCATTGGTGTGATTTAAACTGTTTGTTTAAAGTTCCCGTTGTGTTTCAGCGAGAACCTGGCCATGGAGGAGGTCAGAGAGACCCTCTACTGTGACAAGGAGACATTTAGCAGTATCTTTCAAATGCTGACAACTCTGGGACGAGGAACCTTTGCCACAGTTAAACTGGCCTTTCACATGCCCACTGTCAGCTACGTGGCTGTGAAGATTCTGGCAAATGTGAATGGGGACTGCGCCCGGAACAACAATGAGGTTGACATAATGAGATCCCTCGTTCATCCGCATATAATCAGGTTCCTTCAGGAGGTGCAGACACGGGACATGACGTATCTCATAATGGATTACGCCTCCAAAGGGGACCTGTTGCGTCAGATTCGCAAACCGGGAGGCTTACAGGAGTGCGAGGCTCGAAGGCTGTTTGGACAGGTAGTACAGGCAGTGAAGTACTGCCACGACAACTGTATCGTCCACAGGGACATTAAGGCAAATAACATCTTGATCGACGCCTCTGGAAATGCCAAGCTCTGTGATTTTGGCCTGGCAGTCAGAGTTGTCCCTGGGACAAAACTAAAGACTTTCTGCGGCACTCTGGCCTACTGTGCCCCGGAACTCTTTGGAGTGGAGCCATACGATGGCTATGCCAGCGATGTTTGGAACTTAGGCGTGCTCCTCTACTACATGGTGGCCAGGCACCTTCCGTTCCAAGCGAGCTCTCCTATGGGGTTGAAGCAGCAAATTTTGGCTGCAAACTTCAGCGTTCCTCATCATGTCCCACTTGATATTTTCAATGTAATTGTGGAAATCTTCATGATCAGCCCCAACAGGAGGCCCACCATCAGTCAAATCCTGACGCGCCCCATGATCAGGGACAGCCAGGCACGGGCATCCATCCAGAGTCTCCCAGGCACCCTGAGCCCTAGCATTGTCGGCACCATGGCAGGTGAAGAAATACTTGAGTGTCTAGAAGACCAAAAATTTAATCAGGCGACGGCCACACACCTGAGTCTGCAATACCAGGCACCCGGGGGAGACAGCTGCCATCACCGGGTGAAACCCACAAAACCCATGGAGCCAGGCCTTGTCCTCAACCTGGCCGATCTTCACACCTTTTCTGGGACTCTCAGGAAAGCTGCTGAGCCTACTTCCCCAACCTTCATCGTGCCATCTGAGCCCCAGGAGAAAGAAGATGGGAATTCCAGGCAGGGTGGCAGAAGGCATAGCATGCCTGCCACCCTGTGCTGCCAGCCAAGGAGGATCCACCTTGCCCACCTATCCCACCTGCGCTGTCCTGTGGCTGATTCCCTCATGAGCAGCAGCCTGGACAGCAGCAAGAGTTTCTCTCCATCGATGATCAGGTTGTGTGGCAGCCTGACGGCGAGTGCCCAGCCATCCTGCTCTCTGTACCACCCTCTTGGGGCAGACCACAATGAGGCAGCAAATGATGCAGAGAAAGGCTGGAGCTCACTGGGGACGGCTCTGCGTGTAACCCCCAAAGGCTCCTCCCTTGGAGACACACTGCAGGAAGAAGTGACCACCAGACAGGAAGAGGCCATCAGCCATGGTCAGCGCCAGGATGCCGGGCCAGCTTCCTCCCAAAACCAGAGGCATCAACGCTGGAAGAGGGTCAAGAAAACCATTGTCAATGGCTTCCGACACCTATGTTGCTGCCTGCCTCCTGCAGAGAGTAACCATGCCTCCCATGAGAACCAGGCTCCACAGTCAGGGGATCCTAGAGGCACCCACAGAACCAGGTGAGCACCTTTCTCACTTCATCTGATTTGTACTTTTCCTCCTGTCCTTTGTGATAAATGATGCCTGTGTCCACTCGTGGCACACTGTGAGCATAACAATCTGTCACTTCAGAAAGACCAGGTGTCCCCTGCAGTGTGACCTCAGGCTTGTTGAGCAACAGGGGGACAGCAGAGATGCTGAGTGAAGCAGGGAGAGGTGGGGCAAGGCCAAAGGAGGCAAAGATTCCTTGGAGGACCAGTCAGGTACTTGGGCGCTGCAGGGCAGTGCACTAAGTCTTGTGTGTTTTGAAGTCACTAAGAGTCTCCTTCCTGTGCCTTTCTCTTTGAAGCCCCGAAGAGGTCAAGCCCCAGCTCAGTGGCTTCTGAGCCACGGGTTGGGGATCGGTCTGGATGAGATTCAGACAGCCCCCCTGGGGACCCATGCCAGATGCCCAGGACACTGTCTGGCCACAGGCACCTCCCGCAGAGGAAGCGCTGTCTACTCCAGAGAACATCTATCTCTCCAGGTAAAATCCCAGGCAGGAAGGGTAGGCTTCCCACAGGGTCTAGCTCAGTGTGGAGGACTGAAGTGCAAAGGTGCCCTAGGCTGTCTTGTGGAACAATAGCGCCTTGCCCTCTCCCCATGCCTGCGGAAACATCAGAAGAGGTGCTCTGGGTAGTGACTGTCCTTTGCCCCTTTTCTCTGCAGAGAACATGGTCTTCTCCATAGGGTGAGACTTCTCTCCCCCAAGGAGAGTATTCCTAGTCAGCCTGCCCTAAGTTGGGTTGCCAGGTTGAGAATGTGTCCTGCAAGCAGCCCTGTAGGACCGACTCCTCTAGAGGGCAGGCTCCTGCAAGAACCTTTAGCAGGAATCCCCACAAGTCATCCCAGCAGGTTCCATTGCTTGAGTCCTCAGACTCAAAGCTTGGGAAAATCTGAGCTGGGGAGTGAGTGACCCCAGGGCAGCAGAGTCCCCCCTCTCCACCAATTCTGCCTTCCAGCTACTCACCTCCTGCCTCTGCCTGCTTGCTCCTTCAAGGCCACCATTCTCATCAGTGACAACTAGCTCCTGCACTTACCACCATGTGCCACACCATGAGGGACTGGTAGGTGTCAGATTGGAGTGAAACCTGAAAACCTAATGAGGGGTCAGCAACCTGCTGTGCCTCCTGCCTCCAGCTTGCCTGAGTCTGCCTGAGTCTGCAACTGGCCAGTGAAATTCTTTAAGAAGGCTTCTGTTTTTCTCAGCCTTTTAAAGGTGAGCAGGCTTTTCCACTTCTTTTGGAGATGGGTGGGGTGTGCTTCCCGGAAGCTGCCTCGTCCATGCCACAGTCACATTGGTAAAATCTCATCTCGTGTTCTTTCTGCCTAGACCTTGTCAACCTGTGACAGCAAGAGACCCAGAGAAGACTGTGCGACTGGTGTGGTGGTCCATCTCTCCAGCTGTCTTCCTCATTAGAACCATCCTGGGTATCTTCTATATTCAAGAATGTGTCCCAGCATTCAGCGCAGGTCGTTGTGATGGCGAATATCCCGGCCTCTGGTGCCACTCTATTCTCCTGCCCCTCCCCCCAAATTTTATTGCGAAGTCTCCTGACTCAGATCCCTCTCATTTCCCCTTGGAGTCGCTGTCGTTTCCAGATACAGAAGTGTGGCTTATCCGAGCCCCTCCCGACTTTGCCACACAGTGGTGAGTGGTCACTCTCACCCCACCTGCTGTGAGTACCCCCCCACACACACCATAGAAACTGAACCCACCCCACACTGTGAACTAGAACTGTAGACAGCCTTTCTGATAACCCGGACAATCAGCCATGTTCTGTCTAGCCCAGGCTGGTTTCTTAAGTCCCAGCATCGTCTGGCCTCAGTTTCTTGAGTCTGGAACTACAAGTGGGTGTCACATGTTCTTTTGTTTTGGAGAATCACTTTTAGTTTGTTTGTTTGTTTGTTTGTTTGTTTGTTTTTCAAGACAGGGTTTCTGTAGCTTTGGAGTCTGTCCTGCTGTCCTGGAACTAGCTCTTTTAGACCAGGCTGGCCCTCAAATCACCTGCCTCCCGAGTGCTAGGATTAGAGGCGAGCACAGCCACCACTGCCTGGCTTTGTTTTGGAGAATCTTAACATCCTATGCAGTAGTTAAACTCGGATCTTTCTGCTTCTACCTCCCAAGGGCAGCTACCGAGCCCAATTTTATACAATGCTGGTGATGAAATCCAGGGCCCATTCATACTAGGCACAAACTCCATATCTGAGCCTGCCTCGTCCCTCGCCTGCCTGCCTTAAACATTACTTAGCCATTTTGATGGGGATTAGATTTAATGTCAGCACTCAGGAGACTGAGGCAGGAAAATGGTAGGCTTCGCGGCCAGCATGAGATAGGGAATACCAAGCTAGCATCACACACAAAGGGTCTGTCTCAAGAAACAGCCAGGAGCCGGGTAAAGCCAGGTCGTGATGGTGCAGCACATGGGAGGCAAAGGCTGGTGGATCTCCGAGTTCCCTGCCAGCCTGGTCTACAGAGTGAGTTCCAGGACAGACAGGGCTACACAGAGAAACCCTGTTTTGAAAAGCAAATATTAAAAAACGAAGCAAGCTAGCCAGGAACGGTGGCACGTGTCTGTTTGCAGTACCTGGGAGGTGATGCAGGCTGATCAGGAGTCCTAGGCCTCACACAAGCCCCACACAACAGAAGTTAGTTGAGACAAAACTCAGGGTTTTAGCATCCTAGCCTAGAAAAGCTGCTTCTTCTAGCTCCGGCCTCCCGCTTTGCAAAGGATCTAGCCAGCCTCTGCCTTCTCCCTTTCTTTCCTCAGCCTCAATGGGTGGCATGTGCCTCTCTCTGGCTCAAAGACTGTTAAGGGCAAACTGGATGGCAAGAGGTGCCGATGCCGGGTCCTTACCGGCAGCCCTCAAGCTGGAGAAGCCACCTTGCTGGCATCGTCAACAGAGGTGGGAGGAAGACTCACTTGCCATTTGTAGAGTTCTTCAACCCTGTCCTTGTCTGTTCCCCTTCACTGCTGACTGTCTGTACCTTGTACTCATGGTCGTCTATTTTCTTTGCGAAAGCATATGACTCTTAAACCCCACAGTGGCATATCTATTGTTTCCTTCTAATGAAGAATCCTTTCTTTTTCTCTCCTCTTGTTTGGACTCCGGTTTACTGTATGTAGTCCCGGCTGCCAAGGACCGTCGATCCTCCTGCCCTCAGCCAACTGAGTGTAGGTGGTATAGGTATGTAACTTGTCTCAGTGTATTTTAGAAGTTTTACTTTTTAAATCATCTATGTAGGGTTGGATATCCTTGGTCTTTTAATTCTTCTGCCTCCGCGTACAAATGTAGAGATTACAGGAATTCCACACCAAGCCTGGTTTGTTTGGTTCTGGAAACCAAACCCAGGTTTCTGCATGGTGGGCAAGAGTTACCCCAACTGAGTCACACCTGGAGCTCAGGCAGGCTAGCCTCAGACTAGGTATTTCTCTCTGTAGCTGAGAAATACCTCCTGATGGAACTGCAGATCTTACCCATTGACCCTGATTTTTCTCTTGCTCTCTCTCTCTCTCTCTCTCTCTCTCTCTCTCTCTCTCACACACACACACACACACACACACACACACACTTTTTCTTTTAGCCTTTCTAGATGACCTGTTTTTCTGACTGAGAGTCTTTAGAAGTTGCACACACAAGGGGTGTACCTGGACACCACTCTTCCTCTGAAGGTAGTGAGCTGTGTTCTGGGTGGGCGGGAGGAAGAGGAGGCTGTCCCAGTCATGTGTCATCTCAGAGTCCCCAGACTCTCCCCTGTGTATCCAGGCAGCGTTGAAGGTATGTTCTGACCAGAAGCCCTCGAGTCGCCCGCAACTAACTCCCTATGCACCTGCGTTAAACAAAATGGAAGTCACCAGCCCTAACCAGCCTGTGTCCTGAACTCAGGCTGATGAAACTAGGAAGATGGAGCCTCACTCCCACTGCTTGAAAGTTTAGTCACCTCACCCCTTGGGGCAATCTCCTATCCCTCACATTTAGACAGTTCTAGGGAGTTTGTGGTTTTGTCTTAAAACTAGATGGTAGAGCTAGGGTGAAGGTGTATGCCTATTATCCCAGGACTCTGGAGGTTTAGACTAGTGACTAGCCATGAATTCAAGGCCAATCTGTTCTCCATGAGGCACAGTAGTCTAGGCTTTGGTGGCTCTCTCTCTAAAACACAGAAAGTGAACGACAGGACTAATGCTCAGTGTGCCTAGCATACACACTGGCTCTGGGCCTGGCTTCTTTAGCATAAAATGAAACCAGGTGGAGCATGCCACAAATCCCGGCATTGGGGGGCAGACACAAGAGGATCAGAGAGTCAAGGCCATCTTCCAACACAGAAAGTTGGAGGCCAGTCTAGGGGGAATGCCACTCCTTTTGAAAACCAACAGCACCTACCCAGAAATCTTAATGCCCCAATCTGAGAAAACAGTGACATAGCAGCCCATTCCAACCACGTATTCCTAGTGAATCAAAAGATCTTTCTGACAGAGAGAAGAAAATATGGCTTCCAGATGTGCAGGGTTATTTTCTGCGACTCACATCTGGAATTATCCTGAGGGAATTGAGTTCATCCTTGTGCACAGCGCTGAGGACTGTTGGGTAAGTACTCCCTGCTGGCCCTGTGGGAGGCACTGACAGGAAGGTTTGGGGAGCATGGATACCTCCACCTGTGCCAAAAAGAAAGGCAGGAAGGCTGCTGGCCCTGCCACCCATCAGAAACTCTGATGTTGTGCTGCCCCCTTGTGGCACTTCTATACCAGCTCCGTTTTTTTTTTTTTTATTTATTATGTATACAATATTCTGTTTGTGTGTATGTCTGCAGGCCAGAAGAGGGCACCAGACCTCATTACAGATGGTTGTGAGCCACCATGTGGTTGCTGGGAATTGAACTCAGGACCTTTGGAAGAGCAGGCAATGCTCTTAACCGCTGAGCCATCTCTCCAGCCCAGTTCTGTAGTAATAAGAGCGGCGGGGCTTTGTTCCCAGCACCCTGGCCGCCTGCCCGGCTAGCTTATGCCCGAAATAACAACACACAAACTGTATTCATTTAAACACCGCTTGACCCATTCTCTTCTAGGCTAATTCTCAAATATTAATTTAGCCCATTTCTAATCATCTGTGTATGGCACCCCAAGGTGTGCTTACCAGGAAGATTCTAGCCTATGTCCATCCTGGGTCGGAGCTTCATCCCGGGAGCGGGGCACGGCATCTCTCTCAGGCGTCTGCTCCCGAGAGGAGAGCTGTGGAGACTCTGACCTCACTTCCTCTTCCTCCCAACATTTTGTTCTGTTACTCCACCCACAGGGCCAAGCAGTTTCTTTATTGGCCGATGACCTTCCTCCATCACAGTTCCGTTTTAATGCGCCTGGTTTGCTGGGGTCTCTGCTTCAATTCCTGCCACAAACTGGGGTGAGTGGGTTTGCTCAGAGTTGGGGTGGAGGGAGGCTTCCACTGCTCTGTACCCATCTGACGTGATTCTATCCTTCTTTACTTCATTCCATTTCTACAGTATCCTAATAAAAGAACAAAATAGCTGTCATAGATGTTCTGTCCAGGAGTTGTCCCTGAAGAAACTTCGTAAACTACATTGCTGCTTCTTCCTGGCCCCGCTGTCTATAATGAGAAATGATTGGCACTAAGCAAGAGTGTGAAATCGACGCCCTAGGTGAGATTCAGAAGCACAAGAAGCCCGACAGTGACTGTCTGTCTGTACAGTGTCTAGTTACCTTGTTTGGTATGTGTTCATGTGCAGAATCCAAGGAAAAGACCCGGCAGGCTTGCTGAAGCTGGCCACCCCAGCAACTGGAGATGGAGACAGGTGAATCTCCATTTTTGTTCTGTTGTTGTGATTTTTTTCTTTTGGGGACAGGGTTTTTCTGTTTGGCCCTTCCACTCTAGACCAGGCTGGCCTTGAACTCATAGAGATCTGCCAGCTTCTGACTCCTGAATGCCAGGATTGTGGGTGTGTGCCACCATTTGAGGCAGATGCATTTCCTCCTCAGTGGCCTTGAGAAAGCCTGTGTTAAAAAACAAGGTGCCCAGCATTCGTGAAGTGACATCTGACACCGAACACCTGTGCTACACACACATACCTTGAGCTTGCAAGTGTGTGTGTCTACGGACACCGCTGCACACTTACACAGTGTTAGCATATAGTGTGTGAGTGCATCTGCACACACTTAAGTCAAAATAGTGTGAGGAAGCACAAGGACAGCCTGGGGCGCTGTGGACCTTTAGTCCCAGCACTTGGGAGGCAGAGGCAGGCAGATCTTTGTGACGTCAGTTTGATCTACAACTGCAGAACTTGCTGTCCCAGGAATCCTGGGCTACCCACTGAAGTTGGTCTATAAAAAAAACAAACAAGGTGAAGGGAAAAGAGGAAGCAGTACAAAGTTAGTTGAAGAAGCAGGTAGAAGATCTGACCTCCTCTGCAGGAGCATCCTGCTGGCCAGACCTAGGAGAACGAGACAGGACGCTGCTGCTGAGAACACTTGGTGGTCCTCTCTGGATGCTAGATGGTTGGCAGAGCCCAGCAAGCCAAGCCCTGGGGTATCTTATTACTGCTGAGTAGAATTCAGTTTGTGGGCTGACAAGGTGATCCCAGCTTTGTTAGCACTGTGGGTCACCTGGATGTCTCACTTCTCTGCAGCACGGGAGTAGATGCCTC